GAGTGTAACCATGTGGAGAGGAGACGTTTGTAGATCACAATCCAGATCTTTGATTTTTCCATGGGGCCATAAGGTGGGCCCAGTCATATTGCCAGAGCTAGTCTGTGCTGGTTGGTGTCATTTGAGCCATATCCTGGATGGGTAGGTAGATTAGCACTACAAGCAACTGATCTGTACTCTCCTTGCTACCCTTCTACCCAATGCTTTGCCACTTTTACTGTTTTCTGAGATGTCTGTCTTCCATGGTTGAATCTACTTTACCCTAGTACATACTACCTGCATCCCAAAGAGCTTTATTATGGAGGTGCATGTCATGGCTTCATAGTTAAGGTTGAATTGAGTTGTGCATTTTAACGAAATGAACTCAGTCTTTATGTATGAAAAATACAGCAGATCCTCCTGAGGTTACAGCACATGCTCTTAGGGCACAGAATGAATTTTCTGTTAATTTACGAGTAGATCTGGTCGTTAGTTTTAGATCAGATTAATTTATAAATGGGTCATTCAAGAGACTGGGCACCGGCTGTCAGATTCCGCCCCCCCCCCCCAAGTGAGCTTACTAGAATAATGCACTCTTCATATGCATCATGGTTAAATGTCACTACCATGTTATGTATAGGCCACATATGAAGAATTTCTTTAGGACTAATAGTACATTTTTTTTTCTGCTGTTCACAACTGAAAAACTTCAGCAGAACGTGAAGAATAACTTTATTTCAGAGAATTCCATAAAGAACTGACCTCTTCCAAAAGGTCTACCATTTGTTATTCTCAACAGAATGGAGACTACAAGCTACCCTTAACAAATGTAGTTCCCACAGGTTGCCTGTTTTTCTCTGCCTTGTTATAGATTAGGAGCTGCAATCTTCCCTGAAAGCAACTTGGGGAACTGCTACTGGAACAATAAGAGTTGGTGGCCGTTTTGGAAAAGGGCATCTTAACTGATGGCAACCTGTGGTTTCAGTTTTTTTGAGAACAATGGAAGTTGGCAGCCATTTTGAAAGTATTCAGTTCTTCATGAATTTCTCTGAAGATTTTGTCCGTTTTTGCTTGAGAGAGAACGGTTATGAAAAAGTCAACAAATTCCCATTATTCCTACTTATTTAATTTTGAAAAAAATACCTTTTGTGCCAGATCTACTCGTCAAAGCTTTGGGGAAGTATGATGGGGGCGGGAAGGAGAGGAAAAGTGAATGCATGTGTATACAGGAATGGGCGGGACAGGACATGAGGCAAAACGGGTATACACACGGGCAGCTTGGTGGCAGTCTGATGCTGCAAAGCAGATGTAAACCCAGTTTCTGTGGCCACTACAATTTGGCTGATTTACATTACTTGAGTGAAATAAAGTAGCTAGAGCAGAAGTGGGCAAACTATGGCCTGTGGGCCAGATCCGGCCTGCTAGCTGTTTTAATTGGGCCCTCGAGCTCCCGCTGGGGCTTGCCCTGCTCTTGCGCTCCAGCTGAGGATCAGGGTCGGGGCGCACTGCATGTGTCTCCCGGCAGCGACATGGCCCCCCTCCAGCTCCTATGCATAGGTGTAGCTAGGGGACGCTGCCCCCACCCCAAGCGCTGCCCCTGAATCTCCCATTGCCCGGGAACCGTGGCCAATGGGAGCTGCAGGGGTGGAGCCTGCGGACAGGGCCGTGTGCAGAACCTCCTGGCCGTGCCTCTGCGTAGGAGCCAGAGAAGGGACATGCTGCTTCTGGGAGCCGCTTGAGGTAGGCGCTGCCTGGAGTCTGCACCCCTGAGCCTCTCCCCATGCCCCAACCCCCTGATCCCCCTCCTGCCCTCCAAACCCCTCGATCCCAGCCTGGAGCACCCTCCTGCATCCCAAACCCCTCATTCCCAGCTGGAGACCTCACCCTACCCCGCCTCCCCCTGCACCCCAGCCCAGAGCTCTCTCCCACACCCTGAACTCTTCATTTCTGGTCCCACCCTGGAGCCTGCACCCCCAACCCCAATTTTGTGAGTATTCATGGCCCGCCATACAATTTCTATTCCCAGATGTGGCCCTCTAGCACCCCTGAGCTAGAGCAAAGTGGTGGATCTGGATCTAGCTCTGAAAGCTGAAAATCTTAAGTGTTCAGGTATATACTGTGTAATGTCTTGATAACTCAGTTTAATCTTCTTTGAGACCACACCCTGTTACACCTTAATCATAATTATACAGTTATTGCATGGTGTCATTTGGGTATATAGGGTATTGTTGAGGGGCTTTGTATCATTGCAAAGACCCCTCTGGATAAAGTTATGCTGGGGTCCCACTGAGGTGGGAAATGTGTAGCATTCTTCCTCCTTTGCCCCAAAACCTCAAGACATCTGCTTTGCTTTGTCGGTAGCTTCCTATTTGGAATCTTTTGGTTAGGAAGGAGCCAGCAGAGGCTGAAGCCGGGAATTTGGAGTTATCTCACCAGAAAATGTGTGAGTCAGACGAGCTTTGGAGAGGTGGAGGTTAGATCCTGCTTCCTGTTAGGGTGGAAACCTGTTTGTGTACAAGTGTTTACTTGTTGGACCAGATGTGCACACCTGTGGCTTGTCACAGGGTGGATAAAGAGGGGGCAGTTCTGTACAAGATGTAAGCATGTTCAGGGGATTGCATCAAAGCTCAGATGATGGGTGGGGAAGCCTTTATCACTTGCAGTACCTTGGAAAAAGCATTCTGGCTAGCGGACAAGTGGCATAGCTGTGAGGTGACCCCTTTGAGGGCCAGATCTAGTTTACATGCCAGCAGCTCTGTTGAGATGGAACACAGCTGCATCATTCACTTCATGCCTTGTGAGGCACTGGAAACTCTAGTGCAATAGTCATTTTCCCACCTTCTTTTCTTCTCTGTATTTGCAGTTTACAGTGACAGAGCTCAGTCACTTAGGGGTTAAGTTTCTTGACCTTTTAAGGTTACTGTGTATCTTTTGGTCTAGGAGTCATGGCTTTTATTAAATTTCATTACTTCCCCACAGCTTACATGGTAAAAGTGCATCAGCTAAACTGATATGTGCTATTGGTATTGGAATCGGACAGGTGAGATAACTTGCTCAGTCAGAGTTCCAGAGGGTGACTGACTTCCCATGTGCCTGATGGGTGCCCTGTAGTTAAGCATTGAGAGCTTGTTAGCTAGTGAGGTTAAGTTCCAGCTGCTGCTGAGCTCTGGCTGCTGGGAAGAGTTTGAGCAGATATGCTACACCAGATAGCATGCAAATACTATATCTGAATCAAATTCTAGAACAGGGAGTGGCTCTTATCAAAAGTAAATGTTCCTACTGCCCCATAGCCTCACCCTGTCTTGTTGGGCTAGTTGAGGTATGGGGGGAGGGCAATGGCAATTAGAATCAGGGCTACTCCAATCTCTGAAGCAATTGATGCAGGTGAGATCAGTTTTGGCTGTCTTTTGCCTTAACTGCAGCTGGAATGTAACTTGGAATCTTTGCCAAAAGTATGTGGGCTCAGACTCCACCTTTCCTGCCGGCCTCCTCTGAGCTTGGGCTGTCAATCCTCTCTGTGGAGCTCATGTGATGGGAATTTTGAAGCCCAGGCTGCTGGCTCTGGCTTCAGCCCTTTGGCTTCTTGCTAAGACTTGTATGAGAGCCACAGAGCAGGTTGATCTTGTATGTCTGATCTTGTTTCTTTGATGCCTATAGTTTTGAGTTGTGCAAATCTCTTTGGTATGGAGGAGGGGACAATAAAATCTGCTGGGCATATCCTCAGAGTGATGTCTTCTGGTTAGCAATTTGTTGGGGGAAGGGATTTGATTACATCTGGGAGGGGCGGGAGAAATGAATGGAGGTGTAGCCCATCTGGGAGCTCTATCCAATTCTCAAAGCACCCATATTGCATCAAGGGAGCCATGGCTGCACAGCAGAGAGAATTTTTGGTTATCTTCCATCAAGAAGAGATTATGCTGTTTATGCTAGGTAGATGTTTTGCCCTTCCCCTCTCTGCTGCCCCAGTTCTCTAATTGCTGTTGTTTAAAATTCAGCTGAGTAATTGCCCTGTAATAATGGAACCTAAGTGTTAGCCACATTGCCTTCCTTCCTTTTGCTTAGTAATGGCCTGCCTTCCAGCCCTGAATAGATTTTTTTTTTTACCCCTCCTTGCCATTTTCTGTCCAGTCCTCCCTTGGGCATATTGCCAAGTTTAGGACTTCGAGGCAACTGCTGTGTTGGCAGGAGGCACCCTGCTGAAATAGAGCTCTTCTTCCCTTTCCTATTCAGCAATTCCGTTGGTGGTGAGGGTGTGGGAGGGATCTCTCCACACTCACCAGTTCTCATGCTCCCAGTTAATCCTCCTTTTCTAAATGAAACCCAGTGGCAGAACCTCACCTTCCCAGTCATGGAAATCTGGACAAGGTACTCTTCCCTTCACTTCACTCTGTGTTCCGTTCCTGGGCGCAAGGAGAACTGTCTTCACGGTACTCTAGTCCATGAAGAGAGCAAGTGGTCCCAGCAGCAACAACATAGTTCTCTCATAGGCTAACCATATTGTGGCACTTCCAGATTGGGGCGTGGTTAGAGATTGAGACTTCTCCCTGGCAGCTGTGTGAGACTTAACTGTTCAGGAAGGTTAGAGTGAGGAGAATGAGGGACTGTCGCCTGAGTCTCCATTTAAAAATGGACTGGACCGAGCCCTGGGTAATGTACTGTAGGCAGCAAACTGGCTGTGACCCTGGCATAGGGGATAAGTGTCTGAACGTGGGGCTGAAAGGGAACCTTCAGACAATGGCACTTTCCATCCTCACTGCTGGCATTTGTCATGAGAAGGAAAACTTGTTTCAACATAAAAAATGTTTTGTGGCATGGAAATGGTGGGAGTTCCACCTGGGGAAAGTACTAGGTTTCCCTCCAGGAGGGAGGGGGACACAGTTCTGGTCAGGATGAAATTTGTGAATATTGCCCCAGCCAAGCAGAAACTTGTCGCTGCCCTGGTGCACAATGTGGAGCTTCCCCGCTCATCTGCATCCAAATAGGGCACATGAATCTAATCTCTTACTCTCTTTCCTCTCTAGATTCATGGCGGGTAAAGGGCTGGTCATCTACCCAGAGATCGGGGACAAGCTGGACATTATCTGTCCCAAGGCGGAGCTTTCCAGACCTTATGAATACTACAAGTTGTACCTGGTGAAGCGGGAGCAGGCAGAGTCCTGCAGCACTGTCATGGATCCCAATGTGCTGGTGACTTGCAACCGGCCGGAGAAGGAGATCCGCTTCACCATCAAGTTCCAAGAATTCAGCCCCAACTACATGGGCCTGGAGTTCCAGAGGCAGCAGGACTACTTCATCACATGTGAGTCGTCCTCTTCCTCATTGCCCCAGTTTACAGCTGTCTTTCCATGTACTTTCAAAGCCTTTCATTGGCCTGATGGTTGTTCCCCCATTAAACTCCCTTTTAGTAGCTTTCTGGGCCAATGCTAGGGCATGTTTTCACTTCACCACAAGAGGGCATACTTCATTGTCTTGTTTAGAGGATCAAGAGGAGGCTTACAGACACGTTTAGCACATAGGGATGTTTCTGGTTTGGGCCCTGCTCATGGCTGACACTTATGGAAACTCTCCTTGATCCTGTCCTGTGGGGGATCATGGGGAGGAGAACAGTGGTGAGGAGTGGAATGTAAGCTGCCTCTTGGGTTGGTGTATGGTTCTTATCCTGCCAGTGTGCTGAGTGAGTAAGCACCCCTCATCTTCCCTCCATCCCCTCAAAAAAGCCACAACACACTCTTGTTTAGTTAAAGGGGCAGGGAATATTTTCTCAAATTCCGAATGGACCAGGGAGGGGAAAGAGCCATGTTCAGTTACTTCTTTGCAGCATCCTTGGAGCATGTGTGTTCAGTGATCTCTGTGGGGCAGGAAAGAGGTCAGTATGTGAGACCTTTTTTAAGGGCTTGTTCTGGAAGTAGGAAGAACTTTGTAGGTATCGGATCTCAGACTAACCGTGAGAAATTGGCCCAGTGTAGGAAACAGCTGTTCAGTTTCCCTTCTGGACAGAAGTTAAAATTAAGCCTGTTGGCTGCTTGGAGCTGTCCTTGTTGAAACTGACCACAAAGTTGCCTGCAGAAGCAGCCCTTGACAAAGGATCTTGGTATTTAGACAAAACCTACTTGCAATGTTACTGACACTGCCTTAGTTTTGACATTGTTTCATTGCTTCATAATAGATGACGAGGGGGAAGGACTGAGATTCTCCAAAGCCTGGAGGTCCTCACAGACACAGGAAAGTGACCATGTTGGATGTGTTCAGCTGATCGTGCCTCTTTATTGCTGTAGAAGGAGACACCTATATCCTGTATAGATAGGACTCCTTTTGATCTGCCCTGAAGAAGGGGTGGGGCTCTTTCCATGTGTTGACTTTTTTTTTTAAAGCAAGGGCACTGCAGTCACCTCATCTCCTGCAGTCAGTTTGGTCGTGATGGGGGTTCAGTGTGCCGTGTCTGGATTCTGTTAGGTAGGCTTCTCTTTCTTCTTTCTTTTCTCCTGTGGATTCTCCTGAACCTTGCCACTCGACTTGGTGCACTGCACTAACCCAATAGCAAGAAAGCAGGAAAAGGGTACAGCGGCCCCGCCACAACTCATCTGTCACCTCATGCATCATTGGCTCCTTGTTTGCTTGCTTGCTGTCACATGCTGCTAACTTGCCCCTCAGCAGCCTGGACCAAAGGTCAGCCTGCGGTGCCAGGGTCGAGCTCAGAGACATGTAATTGGGCACACCTTATTCAGAAATCTATTCTAGCCCACATATCTCATCTTGGCAGTCGGATGGGGACGGAGTCTACCAGACCAACATTAACTGTATGCTACAAGTACAGCAATTGCCTGGTTACAGTGACTGCCTTTGTGGTAGGTGCTTATAAGCCCTTTGTGGGGCTGCGTTGCTCATCTTAGCTAGCCAGATCCAAATCTTCATGGAGTGTCTGTATTTTGCTTTGGGTTAAACTGAACAGAACCTGGTGCCCGGAGAGCAGTAGAGATGGGCTCGGGTTACAAGATTCAGAGCCAGATACAGATTTTCAGACAAACCCACTTTTGGGACTGTATGAATCTAGACTTTGGCTTGGGCCCATCTCTAATTCTTGGTGGGAGCAGAGGCTGGTGTTGGAACTTACAGAAAGTTGGCACTGTTGATGTGACTAGCAAGCAGAAACTGAACTGGTCATATGAATGTGCCGAGTGTGATGTCTTTGCAGCCGTGGTTTGTGCTGGGAAGGCCTGAAACAATTCATCTACAACCAGCTCATTATGGTTTTAGTTTTCAAGAACAGTTCAAAGTTAGGGGTGGAAGGAACCAGATGTTGGCAATTCAGCATCACCAGTTTTTTTTTTTTTTGACCTGCCATCCTCAATCTCCTCTGAGAATGGGGGGTCATTAGAGGATCTGCCCCTGCCGCACCCCATTCTTGGGTAGACCGGCGGATGTCTCCCAGCTCAGCACCACACTTCTTTGGTGAGGCTTAAGGTTTGGGAGTCAGTGATGAGACTCAGTTGCTCCCACCCCTTTCCCATTGTTATACGGGTGCCAAGAGGAGTAGAGGGGTTTTGGCAACAATGATAGAAACAGCTTTAAAACAGGGTGTTCTTGGTATGGGGGTGGCAGCATTGAGAGTTGTCCTTCCTAATATTTCCAACAGCAAAGTAGCCTGCCACTTGACTCCCGGACTAATCTTCATCTTCACTTCCAGTCTCACCTTCTCGGCTGGGATTGTGGTTCCATTGTCTCACCCTGAGTTAACTCCCCTACCCACCCACTCACACCTGCGCATGCTTTATTCACATGGTTCTTAATTCCCAACCACCGCTTGCTTCTGCAGGATGTTGTTAGCACTTTGAATGGAGAATCCGAAACTCATTCCTGGGGCCCCCATCATGTGCAGCCAGCCGTTGCTGCTGCATGCTGTCAAGGGCCCCAACGCAGATTGCCTTCTCCAGCATGGCAGCTGTCAGTCTCAGCTAGGTCACACCTCAGTCCTTTCCACAGCTTCTCAGCCAAAGGAAGATTTGATTGAGCTGCAAGTTTCCCTAAAGTGAGCAAAAGAGGGGGGAGGTGAGGGGGCTAAATGCAAAGGAACGAGTCAGCCTTTCATATCCCGGGCAAACATCTTGAAGCACTCGGTCACTGGTTTTTCCAAGTTAAGGGTCACTGCAGGTCAAGTTCAAGCAGAAGTCGACTCTTCAAACTAATGAGGATTGAAAGCAGGGGTCCCAACCGGGGCCTCTGTGTTACACCCCATGGGACATCAGAGATTCTTGTACCAGAGCTGACTCGAGCAGTTCTGAGCAAGAAACCTACCGACCTCTGTAACTGTGGGGCGGAAAAAAGACTGAATGACAATTCATGCACCAGAACAAGCCCGTTAGCTAAGGAGTTCTCAAACTGGTGGTCGGAACCCCTCAGGGGGTCGTGAGGTTCTTACATGGTGGGTCATGAGTTGTCAGCCTTGAACCCAAACCCCACTTTGCCTCCAGCATTTATAATAGTGTTATAAATTTAAAACATTTTTTTTTATATTTAAGGGGAGGGTCGCACTCAGAGGCTAGCTATGTGAAAGGGGTCACCAGTACAAAAGTTTGAGAATCACTGGTCAATAGTTCCCAAACTTTTTAGGACTGCAGTTCCTATACAGATATTTTAAAACGTGGTAGCTCCCCAGAACCAATGCTGTTTATTTAACTGACTCGGGACATTAGATTCAAGTGTTCAAGAACAGTAGATTCACAAGGGACATTAGAGTTGTGGTGATTTTTCAGCTTTATTCAACTATATACAGTTTAATTATATAATCCAGTCTAATCCCGGTTTCTAAAATTATAATTTGAAAATATGAATTGTTTGGCATGTTCAGACACATTTTAAGATTTTAGTGAGCAGAACAGGCCTGTCTCGAACTGCACAGTAGAGCAGTGTCTGGTTGAATCTCTTAATGGTGCCAGATATAAGTTGTTCTCCAAGTTTAAATGATTTCTGAGTTTCGCTTTCACAGAAATTGTTGCTGAAAATAGAGAGACTCAGAGATAAGTGGAAGTGACTGGAAGCAGCACTTCATAGCTTTATCACTGAGTTCATCTTACTCTCCTTTAATGTAAATCCAGAATTCCTGGTTTGTTAAATTTGAAAACTTGGTCTTTGGTGTGTGATCATTGGGTAATTCTAAGATTTTCTTGCTCCAAAATACTTGATCTTGAAATGGAATCAGCTGTTACCAAGAATGATTTTCAAATACAGTTGGCATCTGAAGGTTCATGTTAAACTCCAGGAAAATATTCCCCAAAATGGGAATACAATCCAAGCAAATTAGTTTAATACTTGGCCTTTAATAACATTTTGATCACTTTCACCTTTTTCTTTTGTAAAAGTCTGATAACAGTGAAAACATCTTGGTAACTCATTTTTCAATGTGGCATCTCCAGAAACAAAATGTCTTCATTAATCCACCGATTTTTCTCTTTGATATCTAATATGTTTGTATTCCTGCCTTGACATGTTAAGGTTTGCCAATCATGTCCACCAGCTAACATCATCGTGGAGTCCACACTTCCCATGTAACCTTCAAAGCTTGTTTTCCCAAGCAGAAAAATCCTGACTTTTGTCATGCAATTCAAAGACGCCTTGTAACACTTTTCCATGTGACAAACCTTCTGACTTCACTGTGAAACAAAAGCTGAGTGTGGTCAGAGTCCATCTCTTTGCACAGCATATTAAAACATACTCAGTGCCAAGGGTTTTACAAGATTGACAGTTTTTATAACAATGTTGAGGGCTTTGTGTACTTCAGACTGCAACTTCTTTGATGCCACAGCTTGGCGATGAGTCGTGCAGTCTGTCCAAATGGCTGCTTATGCCACTTCTCTACTCGTGCTGCAACCTCACTGTTCCTTCTGGTCCCGGCTGCCGCACAGACGTGGCATATTTAAGACCTTTGTCCACTACAAATTTGAAGATCTGTAATATTTCCTCACCAGTGTTTCAGTTGGACTTTCTTTGCAAAATAAACATTTTTAGGCAGTTGTACCTGCTTTGACAAATCTCACATAACGCAGAAGCTGAGCCATGTTGGCTGAGTCTGTGGATTCATTAAGGTTCAGTGCAAAATATTTACTCTTCTTAACATACTCTATCAGCTGGTCCTGGGCATTTTCTGCAAGGCCATCAGTGCATCAACAGAATTATTATTTGACACAGGAATGTTTTTAGTGCCATTGTTGCTTGTTACCCAGTCATAATTTTACATGTCTGTTGGTCCTGGAAGTAGATGGGTCTTGCAGATAGTATGTACTTATTTGTATTTTGCAATTCGCA